GAAGCTTGTTTTGGAAATTCCAATTCTCACACACATATCTCCATCACCTCACATTGTTGATTAAAAACAGGCAGAAACTTCTGGTGCTAGGCTCCCAGGTCATAATTTTCTGATGCAATAGTGGATAACATCACCCCCCTCCCTAATTTCTTCTTTGATAGTCATTACCACACCCTGCATGGATTCCTTCTGCTTGTGCAAGTAAAATTATGGTCCTAGAAATCTGGAATTTTAATCCCAGGATTCTCTAAAGAGTACTAGCATTAAGAGACAACTGTTTTTCTGGAAACTGTGAGATACTGATAAAATGTTAATCTCTGTTTCCTGTTGTTCCAGTTTCTTATGTGAAAAATGGACCAGCAACGCTTAATCTCACGAGGTAGGGATCAAAATGTATAGTGAGAAGTATGCATTATTTGAGGGAAGAAGCTAGTTCTTTTCTCTTTGAAAACCTGAAGGTGAAATTAAAAAGTGGCTTGGAGAGGGAGAGCATTTCTTAGACTTCTGGCTGACCTATCCTCCTCTTGTTTTTCCACTTAATGCCTGATTGAGCAACCTCTTGTTTCTTACCAAGTTCTTTCTCACATTTGAATTCAGATTGTTTTTGGATCATATTTAATGATTTTTTTTCCAAGTTTTTATTTATTTATTTTATTTTTATTTTTTATCGTGAAACACTGAGTCATTTGATTCTGATTTACAAGAAAGTGAAGGAGAGAGGTTTCTCACACTGTCGGCCTCAGGGAGCAGGGGATGTGTCATCCCTGTCTGTGCTTGCTCACCCTTTTCACTTTGCCTGTGTTCATGTCATGATCAGATTAATTAAACACAAAAGTTATATATCTCCGAGATATATAGGAATGGTGTACTCATTGAGATATTACAAAACAACTGAAACTGCTTTATCTCTATGTATAAAGGATTCTCCCCTCTTTTTAAGAATCCCTGTGTCTCACTACTCTAAGCCATCAAAACTCACAAATAGGTTTTATAGCTCAATTAATGGCTATCGTCAAAGCTTCTGTGATCAAACCTGGCCATTTTGCCAGCATTAAGGATATAAGTAGGCATACTCTCTATTGTTTCAGCCTCTCCTTTATCCTGAAAAAATTCATTTTATCACTAAAAATTTTTCAGATTACTTTCTGTTTTTTTTTCCATCAATTGACACAATATAAAGACTCCTAATTGGGTAAAACAATAGCTTATACAATACTAGAGGCCTGATGCATGAAATTTGTGCAAGGGGGTTGGCCCTTGCAGCCCCGTGCCCCACCCACTGGTTGTTCTGGAAGGTCATTCCAGAAGGTCATTTTGGAAGATTGTTCCACCATCTGGTCTAATTAGCATATTAGCTCTTTATTATATAGGATTTCTCTTATGTTTTCTCCTAGCTCTTTTAAAGTTTTTAAAGTTCAGTTTTGGTGTACGTCCAAATCTATGCTATTTTTTTAAAAATGTTTATTGATTTTTAAAGAGAGAGGAAGGGAGAGGAATAGAGAGATAGAAATATGGATGAGAGCTAAATATCCATCAGCTGCCTCCGGCATGCCCCCTACTGGGGAACAAGCCCACAACCTAGGCATGTGCCCTGACTAGGAATCGAATCAGTGACCTCCTGGTTCATGGGTCGATGCTCAACCACTGAGCCATACCAGCCAGGCCCAAATTCATGCTTTTGTGGCAATCATACATTCTGCATGATTCTATTTGTATGAAGTTTACAGATGGGAAAAAATAATTTATGGCTATAAAAGTCAGAATATATTAATTACCCTGGGTGTTGAGATGAGTTTTGACTGAGAGTGGACATGTGAGAGTCTTTCTGAGATTCTGAAAATGTTTTCTAAGGTTTAATCATAAATGAAAATTTATCAAGCTGGGCCCTCCATATTTGTGCACTTTATGGTATATAAGTTATGACTTAATAAAACCAAAGTCCATAATAGTTATTTTCATAAATAACTAGCTGTTTATATAATAAAGAAACCACATATACATTTTCAACAAGAATACAATGAACTGCCTACAAAGGAGTACAAGAAATGCATATATTCTATATGAGAAAAGAACTTTAAAATAGCACTGAAGCACACACAAGAAGACTTGAAAAAATTAAAATCCTACATAATAAAAGTCTAATATGCTAAATGTCTGGTCAGCTCTTCAACCAATCAAAACATAATATGCTAATGATATGGTAAGGCTGCTCAACTGCTCACTATGATGTGTACTGACCATCAGGGGGCAGACTCTCTGATGGGTAGGTTAGCTTGCTGCTGGAGTACGGCCAATTGAGGCTGAGCGAGACAGGCCAGACATGCCCTGGAGCCATCCCATGACCCCTCCCTGGTTGGCCAACCTCCTGCATCCCTTCCCGGCCCTGATCATGCACTGGTGGGGTCCCTTGGATCTGGCCCTCTCACAATCTGGGACAAATTGGGGGATGTTGGAGAGCCAGTTTTGGCTTAATCCCGCAGATCAGGCTGAGGGACCCTACTGGTGCATGAATTTATGCACCGGGCCTCTAGTCCTAATATATAAAAACTCAGGGTCATAACATCCAAAATGACTGCAGGCACTCACTGCTGAGGGGGGCTGTGATCAGGCCCAAAGAAATGCCCGGGATAGAGAAGCAGAGTCTGATCCATAGCCTCCACGACAGCTGTTAATCAGCCCTTGCCTCTCTCTTTCTCTCAGAGCTTGGCCAGCAGCTGCACCTCCCTTTCTCTCAGGCCCATTGATAGGCCTGCAGATACTAACTGGCATAGAAACCAACCAATCAGAACCAAATCTGGGTGAACTGTGAGGAGTCAATGGCTGCTTAGGAGGCAGAGCTTTTGATGCTGACTAGCATAGAAACTGACCAATCAGAATGTAATCTGGATGAACTGCAAAGACAGAACCTAAGGTGGGGACTAAGAAGGGGTTTTAAGGGCAACAACTATTTAGTGTAAGGTGTAAGAAAGCGGTTTAATTTTTAATGATCGGTTTGGCAGTATAGTGCCTATAGCTGGCTGTCAGTCCAGAAAAAGGGATTATGTATTTTTGTCTGCCAAGAACATCTCCTCCTGATGAAAAAGGCTCCCCCTGCCATTTAAGCAATCCTATCCTATATAATCTATCTATACTACTAAAAGGGTAATATGCTAATTAGATCAGGTTGACTGGCCATCTTCTGGATGTATGACTTCCTTCCGGACAAAGCCATGTTGGTGGGGACCAAGGCAGATCACATCATTAGGGGAGATCAGGCTTGCAGGGAGGGCATTTGGGTTAGATCAGGCCAGGAGGGGAGAGCAGTTGGGGGCAACCAGGCTGGTAAAGTAGGGCAGTTGGGGGTGAGATCAGGCCAGCAGGGGAGGGCAAGTTGGGGGTGAGATCAGATTGGTAGGGGAGGACTATTGGGTGTGAGGGAGGGCAGGCCGGTAGGGGAGGGCAGTTGGGGGCAAGATCAGGCCAGCAGAGGAGGGCAGTTAGGGGCTATCAGGTAGGCAGTCAGAGGCAGTTAGGGTGATCAGGCAGGCAGGAAGGTGAGTAGTTAGGAGTCAGTGGTCCCAGATTGCAGTCAGACATCCCCCAATGGGTCCCTGATTGGAGAGGGTGCAGGCTGGGCTGAGGGAACCCCCACCTGTGCACGAATTTCATGCACTGGCCACTAGTTAAAAATAAAACACAAAACACACCATGTTCTTGGATAGGGAGGTCAACCTTAAAAAGCTGACAACTCTCCCTATGTTAATGAACACATTTGATGAGATTCCAGTAAGATATTCAATAGAAAAGCTGATTCAGGTAGGAAATCAAATAAGGACATATTTGAAAAACTCAAAAAAAAAAAAAAAAAGCAATAAGTGGGTACTAGTTCTATAAGATAGTAAAACACACCATAAAGTCTTGATTATTGAAAGTGTATTCCTGGCACATAAATACACAGAGAGTCCAAAGAAACAGACTAGAAATTACAGAAATGCCCACCAAAACATATGTGAATATAGTATATGTTGCAGGAAGGTTATAAGTGTGTCCTTTCAAATTAGTGTGCCAGAGATAAAATGCTTAATGAAAGCTTTGGGGACAACTGGATAGATTTATAACTATACTTCACCTCTGTGTGGGAGTGTATTATTTTTTCTTAATTATATACTGTCGTTCCTGTAAGAGAGCTATATATTTCTTTACATTGCTATGTTTGTTTCCTTGTGGGAAGAGTCACCTTGCCCTGATTCCACAATTGAAATCAGGTTTGGTCCCATGACCTGTTTTAGCCAATAAAATTATAAATGGACACGATATACACCTTATCTGAGCTGACGGTTTAGGAGCCATTGCTTGATTCAGCTATTCCCTTTCTCTCCTTTCATTAGGATAGTTTATCATCAATGATATTTAAGGTACAGTCTGTTACTATCCCCACTTATTTGTGAAAAAGCTGAAGCAGAAAGTCTCAGCTGCTGAGGTAAGGATAGAGTCAGAATTTGAATCAGTACTGCCTATCTCCAACACATCCTTTAACTTTAATTATTTTATTCTCTTTTGGAGTCCCATTTTTGTTGTCTTAGCTTAATGACAAAGACAAATATTTCTTGTTTCCTCTTAAGAAATATTTATCCATTCCTAGTTACTCATCAATACTTTTCTCCCCAGCTTCCTAGATCAGTGATTCCCCCCACCAAGGTTTCTCAGAACATAAATTATTTTCAGTTATTGTCTAGTTGATTTTATATGTTAAATTCACAGTTGTAATATGAGCAGGTATATTTCAAATCTGTACTCTTCACATTATTTAAAACAATACAACTCATAAGTAAGCATGTTTGAAGAATAAATGATGGAACAAATAACTTGATTAGAAATATATATTTATTCAACAAGCCTTTTTGACGTCTGTTTTACAGAGATAACCAGATTCCTTCTAAATATAAGTACAGGACAGGGAATCCAGCAAAAGATGTAGTCTAAATATGATCCTCAAACATTTTCTTGCTCTGCATCTAGGTGAGAAAAGAAACATAAAAAAGTTGTAGGGTTTCTTCAGGAATATCCCCTCAGTTGAGTCTGAGCAGTGAGTGTGAGCTAAATTTGGGGTCAACAAACTTTCTCTGTGAAATGCTAGATGCTAAATATTTTGGACTTTGCAGGCCAAATGGTTTACGTCATAACTACTTAACTTATAATAGCAGCCATAGAAAATAGATACAAGTGTGGATTAGTTCCAATAAAACTTCATTTATAAAAATGTGTTAGGTTAGATTAGGCAGGAGAATCATAATAGTTGGCCCTTGAAATGAAGGAAACCAATGAGCTGTGATGTGAAATGTTGTCTGTTATTCCTGGCTACCCTACAAACATAAATAAAACTTATTGACTTTTCTAATATTGGAACGAATATCTTAAATTGGAGAGCCCACCTACAGGGTAAGTTCCCTTCTCCAGTATTCTCTTTGTGTGAGAATGTGCCATATAAATTGTCTCAGATCTAGAATAAGACTTGTAAAGAATTTTAGAGGAGGATCCAAGATGGCTGCTCGGGGAGACACCTAACCGCAGCAGCACACAACAATTTCAATGGAATACAACTAAAATGTAGAGTGGACATCGCCCAGAGCTACAGGTAGTCGACTGACTGAAAATTCTACAACAAGAAGGAAAGAGAAAACCAGAAGGAAAATCAGAGGAGCTGAAAAAAAGCCTAAGGTACGGAGACATGCTGCGCACTCACGCGCGGAGAGATCACAGCCAGAGAGGAGGAGAGGGCTGGGTGCTGCCTGGCGTTCCCTAGCAGGAAGGAAATAAAACCCCGAGCCTGGGCTGAACCCCCGAACCGGCAGCGCTGACCCCCAGTTATGAGCCAGACCCTGGGACCCAGGCTCCGGCAGGGGAGACGGGGCTTTGAGGCGGAATCCCAAGCTAGCAGCGAAAAGCAGGGCCCCCAGAGTTGCGCGCACATTGTGCGCAGAGGACTGAATGTTGACTCTGATGCTGGATTACCCTAGCAGGAAGAAACAAAGCCTCCGGCGGCGCTGAGCCTCAGTCCGGACTGCTCTGAACCCCAGTCCTGGACCAGACCCTGGGGACCCAGGCTTGGGCAGGGGGAGACGGGGCTGTGAGGCGGAATCCCAGGGGAGTGGTGAAAAGCAGAGCCCCCAGAGTCGCGCGCACTGCGCGCAGAGGACAATCTGTTGATTCTGATCCTAGACTCCCCTAGCGGGAAGGAGAAAAAAAAACCTCCAGACTGGAGGAATGCAACAGGGAGCAGGAGCCCCTGCCGGACACCAGCCAGCTGGGCGCCGGCAGGGAGCCGGGCGACGGGAGCCAAGGCCGGGGGCTGCTTCCTGGGCGGCGCCGACCCCGGCAACAGGCTGAAGCAGCTCGGGAGCCCAGAGAGAACAAAGGGGTGCCACAGGCCAACCTGCTGAGCTCCCAGGACAGGAGGAAGAAACCAAAGTTCTCAATGTGAAGAAATCAAGTGAGAGCAAAAGATAGTAAAATTACTTAAGAAAGAATAAAAAGACGATCTTGAAAAATCAAAGACTAAGTCAGAACTCAACTCACCAGCCAACATTGCAACATAAATGCGTTTAAAAAAAAAAGGACAGAATGTTGGAACAGCGGCGGCCAGGCCTAGAATGCCCAGGCACAAAGCAATGGCAACCGGGCCCAGAGCAGCAACGGCCAGGCCCCAGAACAGCAGCAGCCAGAACCAGAACAACAACAGCCAGCACTGGAGCAGCCAGACCTGGGGCAGTGGCAGCCAGGCCTGAGGTAGAGGCAGCCAAGCCCAGGGTGGCAAGTCCAGGAACACCCAGACCTGAGTGGCCAGGCCCGGAGAAGCCGGGCCCAGAGCAGCTGGGTTGGGAGCAGCCAGGTCCAGAACAGCAGTAGCCACGCCAGGAGCATCCAGGCTGGGAGCATCCAGGCTGGGAGCGGCCAGACTCGGAGCGGCCGGGCCCGGGGCAGCCGGGCCCAGAGCAGCCAGGTCTGGTGCGGCCAGGCCCAGAGCAGCCCAGGCCCGGAGCAGCGGCTGCCAGGCTGGGAGTGGCCAGGCCCGGAGCAGCCGGGTCTGGTGCGGCCAGGCCCGGAGCAGCAGCTGCCAGGCTGGGAGCGGCCAGACCCAGAGCAGCGGCTGCCAGGCTGGGAGCAGCCAGGCCCGGAGCAGCCGGGTCTGGTGTGGCCAGGCCCGGAGCAGCAGCTGCCAGGCTGGGAGCGGCCAGGCCCGGAGAAGCCGTGTCCTGTGCGGCCAGGCCCGGAGCAGCAGCTGCCAGGCTGGGAGCGGCCAGGCCCAAAGCAGCGGTTGCCAGGCTGGGAGCGGCCAGGCCCGGAGCAGCCGTGTCTGGTGCGACCAGGCCCGGAGCAGCAGCTGCCAGGCTGGGAGCGGCCAGGCCCGGAGCAGCTGGGTCTGGTGCGGCCAGGCCCGGAGCAGCAGCTGCCAGGCTGGGAGCGGCCCCGCCAGGAGCGGCTGGGCCCGGAGAAGCCGGGCCCAGAGCAGCCGGGTCGGGTGCGGCCAGGCCCGGAGCAGCAGCAGCCAGGTCCAGAGCAACTAGGTCAGGAGCGGCGGTGACCAGACCCGGAGCAGCTGATTGTGGAACGAACCAGAGCAACAGAGGCCAGGCCTGGAGCAGCCAGGCCCGGAACAGCTCGCTCCTCGCCTGCCCCTGCCCCACGGCTGCCTCTCAGACATGGCTGGAAACTTTTGTGGGAACTTGAGGGTCTGCTGAATCAAGTGATGAAGGCTTAGATCTGGATGTGTTGAGTTAGTGTAGGGCTAGGGTGTTGATATTTGAGTGCCTTGGGTGGGGCCTGGATGAGGCTGGTTGACCTATTTGGTCTTTTGTGTGAAATGTATCATTGGGCATATGGTGGTATTATTGATATGAGAAAATGCTAAGTAACTGATTTACCATCTGAAAAGGGATTTACTATCGGGGAAAGGGAGGGAGGAAGAGACTGAACATAAACTGCACCTATGAATGAGGACAATAGGGGATGGGGAGGGGCGGAGGGTGGGATGGGAACCTGGTGGAGGGGGGAAGAAATGAGGAACCTTTGTAACAATATGAACAATAAAGATTGATTTAAAAAAAAAGAATTTTAAATTTACAACATTTAGGGAGCAAAGTTAATAATGGAGTATTGATCATGGCATGTGATTTCTTACCTATGCTGCAGGGGGCAGTGTACTCAGCAATAGCGAACTCACCTAAAAAATATAAGATGAAAGAAGAAACAAAAAAAAAATCTATGAACAAGAAGCCATATTGAGTCTATTTACTTTACTTTTGGTGAAAAGTATATCATATCAGGATTGTTAAAGCTCCATTCAAATAGACCAGAGTTGAACAGGATAGCTAACGTTTATACTCCCCCTCACCCCCACTCTAGAATGGAGGAGGGGGATTGAAGCCTGTTTAGATAGTAGCTATTCAAATTTTAAATTCTTAGGAAGATGTCCATTGTTGCTCTCTCTTTTTCTTGTAGCTCTTTCTTCCATGAACTCTCTGCTTCTTCTCACTTTGTCCAGCTTGCTTCCTGAATCCCTTTTCTAAGATTATTGCTCTAGCCTAAAATGCTTCCTATTTCTATTTATTATTATTAAGAGAAAGTGGAAGAGAGAGAGAAAGACATAGAGAAATATAGATATGAGAGAAACACATCAACAAGTGGTTGCCTCCTAAATACGCCCTGAAGGGGAAGAATTGGGAACCAAGGTAGTGTGTGCTCTTGGTGGGAACCAAACCCAGGATCCTTCAGTCTACAGGCCAATGCTCTACTCACTGAGCAAAACCTGCTAAGACTTTACTTCTATTTACTTTAGAAGGTGTACTCTTCCATTAGGATCCAACTCAAATCTTTCTTCCTCAGTTTGTCTTTTTTTTTTTTTTTTTTACCTGTTTGTCCATCTTAAGTTCTAGTCATCCGTGCTGTTTTTCTCCCCCAGTTTCTTATCCCTTAGCTTGAGAACACTCATTTATCATTAACTGTCTTTTCTGGTTACATTATCTTTCCATGTGTACTATGTTCTTTATATCTCTAAACTATTTGAGAGCAGTCACCAAATATTATCTTTCTTTGTAAATTCTTAAGTTTATGACTCAAGAAATATTAGTTGATAAATTTGTAGGGTTTCTACAGTATATAGCTTGGAGGAAAGGGACAAATAGATATAAATTGGCTTGTCTAAAACCAGGATCAATTGTCATCTATTTCTTGGTTATGGGTTGAGACTATTTAATTGTCTCAGTTTTTTTTCACTTACGAGTCTCATAGTAATCATAGACTTTAACAATCGCTGGCTTTAGGTCTCTCACTGGGATGTCTTGCAGAACCGTGAAAGAAAAGCTTAGTGTCTGTGCTGTCACCTAAAAGGAAAAGTGGGAGTAATAAAGAGGTTAGAAATCCTCTTCTCTCTTTTTTGAGTAAAACATATTCTTTATTGTTCTCTGACTCTTCTTCACCTGGGTCTTTTAGGTAAGTAAACATTTGTGGATGTCAAGATAGGTTTAGAAGGCAACTTTGGGAACTCTTTACAATGAACAAAATCCTCCAGATACTCTCCTAAACAACAGAGACAACCCATATGCTCTTGTAGTCCTCTACAAGAAATTAACTGAGTCTATGTGAATGTGTTTTAAGATGCAGATACTTGTACCACTGTAATTATAATACAAAACTATTAGTTTTGTGTGGTTAGATAAAACATTTCCTTTGCTTTGCAGTTGACTTTGAAGATACTCATGAGATCTACATTTTATTATACGTAGTGATATGTTTATCAGAATATTAACAGTATTATTAATCACAGTGGTATATTTATTCTTTTTGGTAGATTTTTAAAATAACATGCACGATAAACATTTATTCTGTTGACTTTTTTTTTTACACTCGAAATCATAGAAGTACTCATATTCTAATTGTAACATAATTAAAAAGAGAGTAGACATTCTATGGATTTAAAAGGAAATTTTCCATTTATTCTTTTTAGAATAGAATAACTTTCTGGAAGGGTGCTACTAATTATTGCTTTTCTCATATTACTTATCTTCTACTGAGAAGACCCACTTAAAAAGTCAACTGATATATATAATCTCAGCTCAAATGCCAGAGTTCTCACCTGTTCCACATAAATGATGACATGGTTATTGCTCACTTCTGTCCTGCTCACATGGCTAGATCTTTCAAGCTGAAGAAAATTAGAGAACTCAAAAAGTTAGACAACAGATATGAGAACACTGAGACCTAGAGCAGATTGTAGAAAAGGACAAATGTTTATTCTTTAAGTAGTATGAAGACTAGAATGCTTAAGACTCATCTTCATGATTAAGTATCAAGGTGCATTAGCTATACAAAAGCTGGGTGAGGGGAAGGAATCACATTTGCAATCAGGCTTCAACGTTGTCATGTATTGACTGAAAAAAATC